AATGATCTACAGAACCAATAAAGATTATTATTATTATTAGTATTATTATTATAAAACATTTTCACATTTTCTTTGACGTTTCGGTTTATTTTAAACTAAACTAAATGGTCTGAGTATCTGAGCAAGAATCTAATCTTCATTAATGTTTTCGTAAGTTTCTCATCTCAGTAACTGCAGCATTAATTTTGATTATTTGTGTGTACTGTTATATACTCAGAGATAAAGAAAATAGAACAGCCAGGAAAATGATTGTATTGAATGAAATTTTGATACAGTTAGACAGGGCAAAGGGGAGGTATCTGTTTACAATAAGCAGCCGCTAAGGCAGAAGCCTAAATGCCACGATGAGCTTAAAGAAACTTTGTTAGTCCAATTCTTGAACTGCCTAAGGTTAGTAGAACTAGGAAAAGTTCTTCTCATGTGGATTGTTCAACAATTTCGATACCCTGGACAAAGAAGCGGTCGTATCGGTCAGTTCAGTATATACGAAGCTCGATACGGTTAGGATGGGAGGCCGTAGTCAGGCGGGTCTGTCTGGCAGGCACATCGCTCGGCCGCATCATGGAGGAGAGCTCTGGGAGCAAATCCCATAAGATGTGAGCAGTACTAGAGGCTAGGTCTTGTCTGGGCCTTATACAGAGTGAGGAGGTCTTGAGGAGAAAAGTACTTATTAGCCCTAAACAAATGGTCTAGCTTTTTCTCAACAATTGCCGCTATTAACGAGATGTGTTCGTGCCACATCAAGTCCTCTGTGATCTGAACTCTGACCATCCGAAATGAACGGCATTTTTGGCAGAACTGAACTGATGAATGTTAGCAAGTGCAAGACCTGTTCTTTTACCAGGAAAACGAACCCAAAAGTTTTTGCTTACACACTGGAATGTGTCAGTTTGATGCGTTGTTTAGAAGTGAGAGATCTAGGCGTGATGTCTGATGCTAAATTAGAATTTACAGATCATATTAATACAATAGTATCATCCGCTATGAAAAGTCTCGTTTTTTTTTGTATAAGAAACTGTGAATCATTTGGTAGTGAGACGGCACCTAAGGCTTTATACTGTACCTTGGCGCGTTCTAAGCTGGAATATGCATCAAGCGCATGGCATCCGTATTACCAAATCTATACTAGTGAAATTGAAAGTACAGAGGAGATTTATTAAATACTTGATTTCTAATCAGATGACGTTTCTCCCAATCGTTGGTCAGATTTGAAATGCAACAGTGTCGGAGCCAAGACCGATCCCTGGGGAGCACCCGCGTTGACTTTTGGGATGAAGAGGAGAACCCGTCAGTTACTACGGATATCTTGTCTGATGCTAAATTAGAATTTACAGATCATATTAATACAATAGTATCATCCGCTATGAAAAGTCTCGTTTTTTTTTGTATAAGAAACTGTGAAGCATTTGGTAGTGAGACGGCACCTAAGGCTTTATACTGTACCTTGGCGCGTTCTAAGCTGGAATATGCATCAAGCGCATGGCATCCGTATTACCAAATCTATACTAGTGAAATTGAAAGTACAGAGGAGATTTATTAAATACTTGATTTTCAAATCAGATGACGTTTCTCCCAATCGTTGGTCAGATTTGAAATGCAACAGTGTCGGAGCCAAGACCGATCCCTGGGGAGCACCCGCGTTGACTTTTGGGATGAAGAGGAGAACCCGTCAGTTACTACGGATATCTTTCTGTCACCATAGAGTTTACTCCACAGTTGCGTGACGTAAGGTAGGAGGTCCTCTGTGGATCGCTGGTGCCGGAAACGATACTGCCTGTCGCTGATCAAGCCGAGACCTTCGAGGTACTCCAGAAGCTCCCGGTTTATGTACCTCTCCATCACCTTATAACAGAAAGCAAAGCTACATGTATGTAGTTGTAATGGTCGGCCTTAGATCTTTTTTTTTGAATAGGTTGGGCATGAGCAAATGTCCAGTTTTCTGGGAAAGCGGTGATCACATTTTGAAGCGGCAACGTTTTGCTATATTGCTGGATTCGCAATAATGTATGCTTCTGATGAGGTGATTTACGTCTTCTGGAGGTATACAAGAAGTTACTTTACTTTCCATCATATCCCAACATGTTTAATGGACGAAAGGTCTCGAGATCTAGTATATCAAAGAAGCAGGCAGAACGATATTAAGGTTAAAGCTTTGGCTGCCATTAAACATGATGTCAAGTCACTTCTAGCTACCATTAGGTGAACTATGACGGTATATCCAGATAATACTAGAATCCCATTTTTGCTATCTCTTCAAACACTTGAAAACCCTGTTTCGCAACAAGATAATGGCCGTCCTCATATTGCTATAACTAAGTGGTCTACCCCGGATAGGGTCAAATTTACCTCTTTCCTTGGCCTCCTAGATCCAATTGAACATGTGTCGGTTGATCGGAAGAAGAGCTAGGGTATACTACATCTAGGTGGGTCCTGGCCCAACACATTTGCGAAATCAACGATTACCGTAAATGTGTTCTATTTCTTCGTCATTGAGGATTTGTGAAATTGTGAATTGGTTGAAAAACCCTAGAAATTCTAATTTAAATTTTTGTTTACAGTGGGACTGCAACAGAAGCTACCGGGAGCTCCCATTTATCCTAGATGGCGGTTTAAAAGAGTTCGTTCAATGTTATCCTTCAGAAGTAGAGAATTCTGGTTGTTTGTTCGCTAAGCAAGCTCGGAGATCGACGATTTGTTGGATATAGACTCAGTGGAATATCCTGGTTCAGCCTCAGGAGGACTTCATAGAAACCTCATGGTTGATTCGGCATATTCTATGGGCACACATAGCAAAACCTGTAGAGAGGGACTTCTCCGCAGAAGATGAAGACCATGAAGTAGCGCTTAAATTGCGTAATATACGTTCAGAAGGGGCATTGCCGAAAAATTCTTACTTTGCCAAGGAGCCAGGTGTATCTAGTGGCACTTACACGAGCATTTCCGAGCATCGATTTCCAATGGAATACAACAAAGGAAACATTAACCCTGCAGCTTCGACGGACTTCATGAAGCCGCAAGATATGTCGGTTGAAGGAACGCGAGGTAATTTATTCATTTATTATTGCTTAATGAAATAATGCCCGCCAGTGGCGACGCGTGACTTTTCCTAAAGGGTTACCAAAAACCAGATGTGAAAAATCTTATTAAAAAAGTTTATTTTGAACCTCCCAAATATAAGTTTTTGCTTATCTTAGATATTTTATTTGAACTATTTTTAAATTAAGGTAAACAGTCCTGGACTGAGCGTCTGGTTCATTTGATATACCTCATGCTATGACTAATCCAAGCCGTCCGAAAAAACAGTCGACGTTTCTAGATCTTCGGCAATTTTTTTATCTGTTTTGCCTGTAATTTCCTCTATTGTCAGAGTCATCCCCTTCAAAATGAACGGTGATTTCTGTTTTGCTAAAAAACATGCGGTATCTAGAAGTGTGCTGCCTAAAAGCTTGGTTAAGACAACTTTCGATTCTTGTTTTGCCAAACTGAATTAAATTGGCTACACATCTCACATGTATAGGAGAAATTTCATGTCTCCCCTTTAGAGCTCTAAAATTATTTAAATTGTTGACTCCGCTGCTGGTCCACCCATTTTTTTCTGTATAAACAGATCACATCGCCAACAATAAAATCTGTGTTTTTTGCAACCACATAACCAAGAGTTTCCATATACCAACTTAATTTAAAATATCAAACTACGTTTTTTTAGTGCTTTTTAAAATTATCTAAAATAGGTGTTGGTCTTCCATCTTCAATGATCTCCTTTTTCTTCTTAAAAGTTATACAAGGAGAATGACTTTTCAAGTAGTTGATCGTTACGCAGCGACACTCATCCATGTTTAATTGCACGCACACTACAACCGGTAACCAAAACGGCTACTAACGAGTGAGAAGTGAGTAATCAAATCAAAAAATGGTAACAAGCCCACATAATAGTCGCAGCGCCCCACGCGCTCGGGTGACCGCGATCAGACCACGAGCCGAACCGACGATCCCCGACAGACTACCAAGTGTATCCATAAATGAAAATGGTAACAACCGACAACCAAGTCGGGGCGAGTCAGCTTCAATCGTATTCGCAAAACCTAGACACTATAGGGCGCATTATTTTCGTGGGGCTAAGTTGCTATTTACTGAATTACTATTACATATCGCTGTTGGTAATCAAATAAATGAAATTATTTCACAGCACTTGGTCATAAAATATTTATTTTTTAGATTTTTATGGTTAATGGTTACATGGACGCTTCGCCACTGATGCCGCCCTTACCTGTAAGGCTAACAGTTGTCGGAGTTAAGCTGCGTCTGCGCGATTAGTATAACCGTGCCGGAAAAATTGTTGAATTTTTTGGTTTTTCAGTTTTTTATTAAGATGGACGTTCAAATTTAAATTCCCAGGGTAACTTGTCACTTAGTAGCTATGAGATTTAGACGTTTTCTAATAATCTAAGATACGCTTTTGTTTTTTTTTACCAGTTCCCAAGATTTTTAACGAATAATATATACCTTTCATCGGGATTGCCAGATGTTCTCCGTTCAGGAAAATGGTCTTTCTTTAACCGTTATGTCTCGTTTTTCCCCAAATGTTCTCCTACAAATGATAGTTTGTTTACTATCATAGTGAAATTCGGTGTATTTACGTTTTCTGTTTATTTAATAAGAGATACTGTACTATTAGTCCATTCCAGTTTTCTATACTTAAAATAATATTAAATTTTGCTAAGCATTGTATTACCGGCTACCAAAAGAATTTCATTATCAACAGTTTATTTTTATACCTGATGGTATGTTCATGTTAGTGTTTTTTGTATTAACCCTTTGAGCCCCACTGGTTAGCACCAAAAACCATCTTTCAAAGCTCATTTTGCTATTTTCCTAGCGGTATCCCTGGCTAACCATAGTGTGTAACGTCTTGCCTATGCATGCTGAACCTGTATTCAGCGGAAACAAACGAAATAAACTTATATTTGGTGCGTATTCCTGCTTCGTATAACGTCAAATGTCCAAGTAGGTTAACACCTAGTACAGGGTGAAGATTTTATAGATCAATTAGTAGTTCTTTGGTGAAAAAGTTGTATAAAAATGGCTGGTAAGTACAAATAATCTGTGTATATGGCTTATTATGGTCGAATTTTGCACGCATCTGATTTCTGATTCGCAAAATATCACATTATTTACGGTGGTTTTGTGTAGTAACCACTAGGAAAGTACCCAACTTTTGTTTTTTGACAAAAGTTATTTATGTGTAACTTTGTGACAATTTTTAATGTCAACTAATATTTCCTGGTTTCATTTACGTGACCCATTCTTTTCAGCGAACAAAAAATGGTCGATCGCTGAATTGGAAAGTATGAGCCTAGCTGATATTTATAAAATTGTAGAGGATGTAGACGAGGTACCTAGTGATAATGAGTCAGTACTAGATGATCTGGACGCTGTTATGAGTGATGAAATACCCATTACTCAAGAAAATGCTGACCTAAATAATGATCTTTTCAATCTTCGAATATGGATGTCATTTTTGAGGACTTGATCGAAGATGAAACTGCTCTTTAGACAATGCGCAGTGGGAAAGTGACGATGATATTCCACTAGCTAGAAGAAATGATATATTTCTGCCTTGCTACTGGACCAAAGATACAGTATACATCAACAACCAAGCAAATTTGAAGAAGAGGCTGGCCCTAATTTGCCTGATATCATTGAAACACCTACGGACGTTTTTTTTGCACCTGTTTCCTGAAGACCTCACCGACCATATTGTTTTTCAAACAAACTTATATTGTGTACAGAATTTGGCGATGGAAGAAACTTCGTTCCTACAACGAAGAATGAAATCAAAGTTTTCTTCGCTGTAAATTTGCTGATGGGTTGTAAAAAGGCTACCCAGTTATAAAGATTACTGGTCGTCATATGAAGTGCTCAGAGACTCATTTATTAGTGGCTGTATTTCCAGAGACCGTTTCGCATGGTTACTAAGTAATATTCACCTCAATGATAATTCCGTACAGCCCAAAAAGGATCAGTCACCATATGACAAAACTTTATAAGTGAGGCCACTTTTTCCAGAGTACAAGAGACATTTCTTTCTTCACTAAAGCCAAATGAGTTTCAGTCAGTAGATGAATCAATGATACGGTTCAAAGGCCGCAGCAGTATCAGACAGTACATGCCAATGAAACCTATAAAGCGCGGTTATAAGGTTTGGGTCAGAGCAGATTCCAGTGGATACATGTGTGAATTTCAAATCTATACCTGCAAGGTGGATCACGCTCCAGAAAAGAAATTAGGAGAGAGAGTTGTTATAGATCTAAGTAGAAACTTGGTTGGAAAAAACCACAAGATTTACTTTGACAAACTTTTTCAATTCTGTCGAGTTACAAAGACAGTTGATCAACAATAAAATATACTCCTGTGGTACCTTACGAAAGGGTAGAAAGCACTGTCCTGAATTCAAGTCAGACAAGGTATATGAAACGTGGTGAAGCCGATTGGCATATTTCCAAAGATGGTTTAGTTGCCCTGAAATGGGTAGAACCGGCGTAGCATACTTATGTTGGGAAATCACAATGATCCCTCTGTTTTAGATACAGCATCTAGAAAAAGAAAGACGGCTCTCCAGAGGATATACCATGTCCCCAGATGGTTTGTGAATACAATGCCCATATGGGCTATTGTGGATCGCTTTGATATGTTGAAAAGTCTCTATGAAGTTAACAGGAAAGCACATAAGTGGTGGCATAGAATTCTATTCTACTACTCCTAGATGCTTGCGTTGTAAACAGTTTTATACTCTTCAGCTAAGAAGTAACTCTAAGGGATTACCTCTGAAAAAAATTCGACTGTCTTTGGCACGAGGTCTCATTGGAGTAATAGGACCCACTAAATGAGGAAGACCATCTTTTGCACCTACTGTAAATAGATTCAAGAAGGTGGTACCCTATGAAGTACGATACTGTAAGGCTTCTCACATGCCTGAAAGATCAACATCTCTTAGATACTCCCACTGCAGTACACTTGATAATCCACATAGAACTATATGGAAGTGTTCGACGTGTCATGTGGGATTATGCTTGAATAAAGATAGAAACTGCTTCTCACTGTTTCACAAAAGATAACTTTTTTTAATTCTTTTTTGGAAGTGTACCTTAGTTCCTGGTGGTTAGCGTTGGTGACCACGTCCTGAAGGATAGCTACACATGTTTATTTGAGAGTACTTTGTTTTAGAGGTTTATTTGTACTATTTTTAACTCATTGTTCAATAAATTTTAGGAGTTTGTGAATTTTAATTAATTTCGGGCTCAAAGGGTTAATAAAGAAATACCTGCGACAAAAGCGACTCGTTTTGTATTTAGTTTCGCTAAAGTGTAGTTGGTCAAGTGTTGGATTGAAACAACAGAGAAAATTATTAGCAATGCATAGGGGAAAACATTATTGCGTAGATTTAAAAGAAAACATTTTTGAAGCTTATAAATCAGATCGCAAAAATTAATAAAAGAGCAATTTCATGTAAATAAACAAATGGTTGCAAGAACAATACAAAATATTGGTTGTTAACCTTCAGAGAGGTAGTCGGAAGAGAAAAAAAACTTCAACACAGTTGGTTAGGAGAATTAAGCGTTTAAGTCATGGCTATCTGCCAATCAAATTTTGGCTCAGATGGATGTTCCGGGAGTTTCATCTAACACTGTTCAGCGGCGATTAGTGCAGGCGGGGCTCCCTGCAAGGAGACCAGCTAGAAAACTCCATTTATAAAAAAAATGTGATTGCTAGGATGATGTTTGCACCACGTCAATGCCACTGGATAGCTAAGGACTGGAACAAGGTTTTGTTTAGTGACGAGTCTAAGTTTCATATTTTTGGAAGTGACGGAGTGCAGTTCGTAAATCGTCCAGCAAATAAAAGACTTGAAAATTGAGGGCACCATGGATGCTCTACGCCGAATGGGAAATGCCGCTAAAGTTTACATTCCAACATGATAATGACACCAAACATACTGCCAAACTTGTGAAGGAATGGTTTGGGGCAAATAAAATTCAAGTTTTAAAATGGCCACTGCAATCACCGGACTTGAACCCCACTGAAAATCTTTGGGAGATAATTGAGAAACAGATTCGAACCAAAATTATCAGCAATCGTGCTCAGTTATTTAAAGAGATTGATAATGCTTGGAAACTAATGGATCCAGCTATAATTTCCAATCTCATTGGGTCGATGCCAAATATACATATGTCAAAAAGTAATTGAGAACAAAGGGTACTGGACGAAGTATTAGTTTAGTTTCATTAATATAGGATACAAATGTATTTCAAGGATAAGTCTTTCTAATTTTGTCGCATATAGTTTTTTATATTTTTTTTTTGTTTTCTCTAATAAATCTTTGGAAACAACGTTTATGAATTTATTTTAGTATCATTTGAGACTACTTAATGACATAAATCTTTTAGCTCAATTACAAAAATTCAATATATTTTGCATTCCATAAAAGGTATAATTAATTTTGTCCGATACTAAGATGTTGATTTTCTTCATTTTTGACATTTTCCGCTACAAAAGGATGTTAGTACTGCTGCTCAATGATATCCCCACTAATTGTGAATACAGATTCTTTGTCATGATGAAGCAAACCAGTCTACTAACCGGATCAGACATTTAATCATTTCGGGGTATATCTGGCATTGCTCATATATTAAGCGACAACGGCGATTAACGTGCGTTTGAACTACTGATAGAGGCTTTCAACCAGTTATATGGGGCTAAGCAGCTTCTGGCGCGGTTAGTATTTGGATGGATAGCTGCTTCGATTCGCTCGAGAACTACACGCCACTAGTCCCAACCGATTGCTGCCATTCACTATTCTCAGTGATCGATTCCTGTGGTAGATGGCGCTTCGCCCTGCCTTATTTCGATAGATCGCACACATAGTTGCTAAGCTTTCGTTCGTTGACCGTGAGACCAAGCCGTAACAGTTCGGAATTTCTTCATTTTCAGCTAATACTTTTCCTCCATGGAAGTCGCGGCGCCGTTTGTTTAGGCTTACTGTTCGGGATTTCATCTAATTTTCAGTAAATATTCTGATATAATCTAGTTATCTCAGCATTTTCCCCAACAAGACGTACAATTTGGCAATAATACACATTATTCATTATCTGATAGGGAATGAACATTTGTAAACTTTTCAAACAATACTCATAAACGCTAGAACTTTCATTTTATTAAAAAAATGGAATTGCTAAGGATTTTCAAGGAAACGTATTGAAAAAACAACACAACACCTATATAGTTTACAAATTAAAAAACATCACTTACTGTATGTTTACTCAGTGACATTAGAAGTCTTACACCCAGAAAAAATAATTTCTTTAACTTGTCTTTCTGGCAACATAACGTATTTAAAACATGCTGTGGCGACAATGTCATCTTAGTTTTGTGTACCTTTGTTAAAATGTTATCTCTTAGTTTTTGGGAAGAAAGCAGCTTCTGAGACCTGAGTAGTATAGGTATTTTCAGTTATTGCCCTTTCATTTACTAGTATTAAGAATAAAATGCCTCGAGTTGGAAGACGTTCAAATTATCACCATGTTAGCGACTTTGGCAGGAGTAGAATTATTGCCTATCGAGATGTTATTGTTTCGTTCTTGATGTAAGACTACCTCATTGCCAAACATCAAGTTGAAGAAATCTTTTTTTCTGGGTGTCACACTTCTAATGTCACCGAGCATATTTTCATCGTTGCATTTTGTTCAAAGGATGGCCATTTCTAAAGACTTCTTCTATTTCTCTCGAAAGAACGAAACATTTCGATGTTTAGGCGCAAAAGTTTTGCCTTACCTTTATTTGGAGTTAATTAAAACCTTCTTTTGGGTATCTGATTACGTCTTAACCGCGCGAAATTAGCCAGTGAACAACAATTTCAACTCTTATACAATATCAGAGCGCGATTGCCGCATAAAATAATCTGAATATGGTTTAACGTTATGTGCTTTGATTCTCTGGCAGTCCTGTATGGTATCCGTCATCGCGAAGTATAACGGATGCTTTACTTTCAATAATGTTCATCGAATGTATCTGCAGATGGGTCAAGGGCGGAACAGTTTGCTCATCTCTAGAAAAATATCCTTTATTTTGTTTTTTCTATGTCTGAAGGCAATCCGAAAGCTCATGGAAGGTGACAGAGAATTGCTGTTGCTAAAAGCCCGCGCATCAAAACCAACTTATCTTCCAGAGCAATGGAATGAGGGTAACCAAGACTACTCAAGGTCACCTGATAGACGGAGAGATAATTCTCCAGAGCCGATGGACAATGCTGTGCCAACTTGTCTCTCCACCTCCTTCCTTTGACAGGAGTTTTAAACCTGCTAAAGTCAAAGAACCAGAAAAAGACGTAAGTTTTTATATATGAACTTACATTGATGAACATATTACACAAGAAGATGCCCAATTCAGATGAAAGCGGCGCTAAACAATTTATCCTTACAACTTACAACTATACTGCTGCCATACTTAGGTAAAAGATAGTAAAGTTCATTTACTGCCTTTTTTAAATTGATTAGAATAAAAAATATATCATTGACAATGGAATAGTTATTTTCTCTCTTTACCAAATATTTCATAATTACATTTCCTAAGCAAAACAGCAGTAATTCAATTTATCAAAGCAAAAAATAATTACATTCCCTAAGCATAACAGCAGTAAATCAATTTATCAAACAAAAAAGCAGTAGTTTTCAAACTATACTTTTTTGATTTTCTATATGATACAGGTACTTACTTATACTTTTTACCCTTTACAACCTATTATGATGTTTACTTATTTAGTTTCTTATGCAATAATTCTATTATTTGTGAATAAGTATTTATCTTACTTTCGCTCCGAAAGAATAGTTTTGCAAAATATTCTTCCTTTAATTTAACATATCAGAAATGATGCAGCTAGATGCTAGTTTATTTATACAATTATTTTCAATGAATGTAAATTATTAAATCTACAGAGTGAACATAGTGATGTTCTAATGCTGGCATTCTTAGGGCGCTATTGACGTACGCCGCCCAACAAAAATGACGTAGAGATGACTTCATTATGACGGTCTAATGTCACACCCAATTGACGTCATTATATGTCGTTTAAAAGATCAAATACAAGGTCGATATGACGTCTATATGTCGTGGATATGACGTCTATCTGAGGTCGATATGACGTCTATGTGACCGTGCTTGATTGCAAACATTTTAGTAAAACTTGTTTATTATTATACAGAGAAGTTTCTAATAAATTTGCTATTTACGGGAATAAAATATGATGTAAGATGTCAATTTGAAATATCTGAACATGGAATATTATTATTGGAAAAGTCACATTAATAAGATATTTTTGGTCGAAGAATTCCTGATACTTTTTATAAATAACAATAAAGTTGTTATTGTATTTGGATATCTAGTTTACCTTACACTAAAAGCCTATATATTCTTCATAGGTAAGTGTTGATTTTTCAGTATTGCCTGTCATAAAAAAGACGTCAAAATGACTTTTAAAGGACGTCTTGTTGCCATAAAAAAATGGTCTCAATAAAGCCGCCATTTTTGGGTCAATGACGTTTCCGACCAAAAGTGACCGAATAATGACGTTATTTTGGCTTCATAATGTTCGATGGGTAATCATAATTTTTTAATTGAATTATTTGATGTTGAAAAGGTGGTGCTATTTATATGAAATTCAATATGAATAAATTATAAGAAAATAAAATAGGATTCTGTATTACTGCGGATTTCCTTTGAGAGAATAATAAAAATAGATTATGGAAACTACGAAAAAAGGCAGTAAATTTTGTTTTTGCAGAGTATAATTGCAGTAAATCACAAATCACTGCTTTTTGATTTACAACAGTAAAATAAGGAATTTCATTTATTTTAGGCCTCAACAACAGTTATAATCCGAAATCACATTTAAATGCCTCTCTCATGTACCTGCAATATTCATTCACTTTTGTTCTGTCGTCATAATATTATTTACTTAGTTCGACAAAAAATCCAGAATTATGAACTCAATTTACTCAGACTCAGATTTTTACAATTAACTTTCTTCTACCTACGGCAGTATACATCAGCGTAGTCACTTAGGAAATTTCTATTTTCGTCGTTCTGAGAATCAGAATTGTCATGAATCTACTTCTAATGACTAAGACCTACATGGCTGTGACGATGTATGCTAACGTCAAACTACAGCATAGGGTTTTGCATTTTCTTCGAAAATGCGTTGATATGAGTATTATCGATACAATAATCTCCATTTTTTCATTTTATTTTAGGTGAAGGGGCGAGGCTTCACGGGAATCCGAAATTACAAGAATTGCTGTTTTAAGAGCGCGATCTTACAATGTATGAAAACCTTGCCGTTCATAAAAGAGTACTTTGTGAATACAAACAGGTACTTAACCCTGAATCGAAGAGTACCTCCGGTATTCAATATATTGATGGGCGAGGTAAGATTTTCCTAGGCAAAACCTAAATACCAAAGTGCTGCAATTGTTATAGCAAGGTTCAACAGAATTTTGAACTAATTAAAATCGATAGAACCTTAAAAAGTTCTCTGTCATTTCGATAAGAGATAGCTGACTTCTCGTCGTTGTGAAAGAGGCTTGTAGTACTTTCATAAATTTGCACTATGCCGTATTCAAGTATCAGAAACTTAGGTCTATTGTGCTTTCTACAGGTGTTTGATAAGCTGTGGGAGGGTTGAGAAGATGATCCAAAAGTCTACAATCCCCAATTTATAAGGGATAAACTCAGCCGCTTGAACCCAATGTTTGAAAAAGGCTGGCATGAAGATGCGTTCGAGTCCTTCACATTTTTCTTCGGTCAACTAAGCGAGGATTGCATGGTCGAAATGCCCAGACCGGATGTTGGTTTAGTACTAGATTAGATTTTGTTCGTTGTTCCATCTGTATCCTGCTGATGAGTCGCTATATATAAAAACACTGCCGTATATGGTTGGTTGGAGCGAGAAAAGCAGTGTTCACGATTAGGCCGCGATTAAATTCCTAGGTGTAAGACGTCAGATGTATACTTTTCACGGTGTCTGGTGTCAGTGTTACCAGTCCTAGTCTACCGATTTTAATGCGAAATCAAATCTACCGAAAAACCTCTTAAATGCTGGAATAGCATATTTCTGATATAATTCTACTATAAACTTGAGAAAAAGAGCCAAGAGCTGTCTGCCATCCTCAGCCTTTCACTATTTGATGATGATGAAGGGGGCTCTCTTCCATTTTCAAAAACACGTGGAGCTCAAGCAAGGCGCCATCTTTCTCCGGCAAGATTTTGTTGTTCACCGAAAAAATTCCTCGTTTCAACTAATATTGGAAATAACCTGAAATCTGAATTGAAAAAAAAATAGGTGGGGGGGGGGTTGTAGACAGGGTGGGGGAGGGTATATATCACTTTTTTGATGTTAGTACAAATATATTTATGAGGGCGGTTCAATAAGTACCCGTGTTATAAATGAACACAATTTTTTCTAGTATTTTTTATTTTTATTTTTATAGTCCCCTTTTAGAAAGATACACTTTTCGAAATGTCCCTGCCATTATTCAACTCCTCCAAAAAATAGGATTTGTCGAACGCGAGCCATTTCTACGCGTTAGGGAACAAGAAAAAGCCGCAGGGGGCCAGATGGGGTGAATACGGGGATTGCAACAGCTCTTCATAACGCAATTCATGCATTTTGGCGACGACAACTCGGATGAATGACCTGTTGCGTTATCGTAGAGAATCAGCACCTTATTTTTCGCTAAATGCGGCCGTTTTTCGTCGAAGCGATCCAATAACTTACTGTAGTATTGTCCAGTGATCGTTCTTCCTTATACAAAAAAAATACATGAGGATGACGCCGTTTGCATCCCAAAAAATCCTTGCCATGACCTTTCCGGCCGTTGGGACCGTCTTCGCCGTCTTTGGAGCAGATTCACCGGGAGAAATCCATTGTTTTGATTGTTGCTTAGCTTCTGGTGTGTAATGACGAATCCAGGTTTCATGAACGGTGACAACTCGACGCAAAAACTCCTTCGGTTTTCGCTTAAATTGCTCCAAACACTGCTTCGAAGGTAACACCCGCATCCGTTGTTGTCCACCGTGAGCAAACGCGGCTGACAATTTTTTCATCTCCAACTTATATTTATTGCCGTTCCAGTCGACACACCTGCGGCATCTGCTACTTCGGACCTTTTCGTTCGTCGATTAGATCATGTCGAGGACATTTTGAGTGATTTCCTCGGTAAGCACGTATGCCGTGCGTCCTGGTCGCTCCTCATCAAAAACGGATGTTCGCCCATGTTCAAATTCGTTGAACCAATATCTAACTGTGGTCATAGATGGCAAAGTGTCCCCATAACCAGCATCCTACTTTGATTTTATCTCATTTTTTCCCATCCAACAACTGTAAGCCTTCCTTTCCGCAAAAAGTCCAGAAAAGATGGAATGCAATGAAGATTCCAACTTTTCTGCACAATCACAGAAAGGGGGTTACCATTAGTTTCCGGTAGCTCAGTCGGTGGCATGAAGACATCTACAGGCGTGTAGCTGTGTGTCGACCATGGCATGGCTAGAGGATAGAAGAACAAACAGAACACAAAAATTTAACAGATTTTATTTAACAAAAAAGCATTTTCATTACATTACAATTTTAAAGAACAAAATAAGTTTTAAATCTTTGGCGCTGCTATAAAACTATACACTTATCTTTCGCTGGTCCATTTTGACTGGACTGAAGCGAGGATGGCCAGGTGCTTGAAGTGGAGGCCCCAGTTATGAGGGGTGACCACACATTTAGTGGCTTCAAAACCAGTTGTAGGCGAAGTTGAACTTAAAGGTGATGGCGCTGCCAAGGCACATGCATGGGTGAAGTGATAGGCCAAGCACTGCAAAGCCAAAGACTACATGAGTTGCAAAGGCAAAAGTCAAAGACAAAGGCAAAGGGAAAGGGGGTGGCCCCAATCTGGAAAAGAACCGTGTGCATTAGCAACGTGCCCTAATGGCCAAGGCATTTCCAATCTCAGTCTGCCTCAAAAGAGAACCAACGATTTTCTAGGTTAGAATTACATTACATAGTTTGATAGAATCAAACCGAAAATTGGAAATACCTTTCATAAAATAAAATCATGAAATAGCAAAAAAAAGCGTAAAACAAGATGGTGGTCATCAAAAATTTCTCCACATGCTTCTGATATAAAAACACAAATATCGAATATTCATAATCAACGTACTCATAATTTCACTGAACTATGATGAATACATATACGCAAACAGAGGTAAAATCGATGTGGATCGATTTCTACCTCGATTTGATTAAAGTTATGGCGAATGATCGAAGTAGTCGAAAATGACGTTCGATGGATATTTTAAAATCGTACAAGAAATAAACCACTTACATATCGACTATCTATAAACTACAGGCAGACCCAGCAATAAAACTGTATAGTATTATAAAACTCACCATTTTGTCTATTCGGACACACATTCTACAAAATTCTAGCACATGGTGCTATATGACCTCATGCTACAGAGAACAAAATTCTTAGCTCTTGCTAGATCGGCGGCTCAAGTCATAAAGAAGCGCGAGGAAGATCGCAGATCAGGAACTCCGCATCAAGCGCGCTCCAAGTGGGAATGTTTCCAAGTAAAAAAGCTAGAGATGGGATTAATGAAATGATAATCGAGAAGTGATTTAATAAATACGATCGGACGGTGAAACCGTTACACTCGCCCCTACTTAACCAGAAAAAAATTCGAAGAAGCATTCAAGTATTTTTTTTTAACAAGGAAATTGAAACTTATCACGGAAGGACAAATGTACAACCATTCGACCAGATAACAAGTAGCAAAAGTAAGGTAGAAACAGAAATGTTAGAAGAGAATTGGAAGAAAAAGGGATAGCCTCAAGTCTACACAAACAAGAGGGATGGGTTAGCACCAAGTCTACTAAAACAACTAAAAAACAAATACACCAACTCGCTGAAAAGTACAGTGAAGTTGCACTTAAAAAATATCATCATATGATG